CAAAACACATGTTTTTTTTTTTTTTTTTTTTTTTTTGAGAGGTTTTTGCAACAGGGTGCATGCGCTCGCCAGACAGAGACAGAGAGACAGAAAGCGAGAAATCACCCCCCAGGGGGGATGGCCATGCTGCAATCCCTTCTCCTCCATTCTCCTCTCGGAATCTTGGGCAGACACGAGCACGTGCCCGGCATGAGTTTGAGCCACCGGGTCCGGGACTCAAACCTTGGTCGACTACATGGGAGTCCAGCAACATAGCCATTACGCTAACTGCTGTTCCCCACATGTTCTTACCATTATACCACAGTGCCTCATGCGTCTATCATAATAGGACCTCCCTCTAGGCCAAGATATATTATAATCAATTCTTGGATAGTTGGCATTGTCTTTAGGATAAAATATAAGTCTCTTAGCATGATATACTAAGGTTCTTTGAAATGTATATCCCTATCTACCTATCTATACTTTTCCCTTATCACCTAAGCCCCTAGATCTTTTTATTTAAAAAAATATTTTATTAAACTTTATTCATTGTCATTATTTTTATTTTATTTTTTGAAGTTGACCAGAGAGAGAAAAAGAAGGTGAGAAAGCAAGCTGCCAGGTCCAGGACTCGAACCACAGTCAGCCATGTGGGAGTCCAGCTGCCTCAACCACCATGCCACCTGCTGGCCTAAGATCTTTATTTTTTATTTATTTATTTATTTTTTTGAGAGATATTTGGTATAGGGCATGTGTACTTGGTGGAGACAGACAGAAGGGGAGAAATCACTCCCCAGAGAGGATGACTATGCTGTAATCCCTTCTCCTCCATACTCTTTTTGGGATTTTGGGCACACATGCACACGCGCCCGGGATGAGTTTCAAGCACCCAGGTCCGGAACTCGAACCATAGTCAACCATGTGGGAATCCAGTGACACAACGATTATGCCATCTCTGGTCCCTAACTTTTTTGTTTCTAAAGAATCGTTTATTTAATTTATTATAATTATTACTTTCCCACATGAGTTTTGACAGAGAAAGACAGAGAGAATGAGAAAGCAAACACCAGTTCTGAGACTCAAACCGTGGTCAGCCATTCCAGTGCCTTATGCACCACGCCACCTGCTGGTCCCCCTAGGGTTTTTATTTTTTTAAGATTTAGTTTTATTTATCATTATTATTTTAATATTTGCTACAGGGCATGTGTGTACACCAGAGACAGAGAGAGGGAAAGTAAGAAAGCAAGCCGCCAGGTCCAGGACTCATACTGTCGTCAGCCATTTGGGAGTCTAGCACCTTGACCACTGTGCCACCTACTGACCCACCCCTAGATCTTTATAATGATTATTTTACAGCTTCCGAATTTTACCATGCTTTTTCACTATTCCTTCTCTCTAAATGCCCTCCCTGGTCCATTTTGCCTAACTTCTTCCTTATTCTTTATCTTAGGCAAAACTCTAACCTTTAAAGACTGGGTTGGGTTGGGAACCAGCAGTTAGCGTAATGGCTATGTCGCTGGACTCCCACGTAGTCGACCGCGGTTCGTGTCCCGGACCCGGTGGCTTAAAACTCAAGCCGGGCGCGTGTGCGTGCGTGCCCAAGATCCCGAGAGGAGAATGGAGGAGAAGGGATTGCGGTGTGACCATCCCCCCTGGGGGGTGATTTCTCGCTTTCTGTCTCTATGTCTCTCTGTCTGTCTGGCGAGCGCACGCGCCCTACAGTGAAAATCTCTCCAAAAAAAAAAAAAAAAAAAAAGACTGGGTTGGGTTTTCCTAGCAACTTCTTCAGAAAACATTGGTTCATCTGTTACATTAATTATTACATATTACTGTATTTGTCTTCTTGTAAGTCTCTTACAATTTCAGTAAATAACAATGCTTGATTCTTTTCTTTTTTATTTTTGGTATTCTCTACATTTAATATAATTCTTCACTGATGGTAGGTACTCAGTTGTGGAATGAAGGACTATTTGAATGACCAAACTAATGTTTTAAAATGTGTTTTTCCTTTTTTGTTGAAATGCAGAGCCAGGCTTTCGAGGACTGAATCCTCCAATTCCTTGGGAGCATGCACCACGTCCCCATTTCCCCCTTGTCCCAGCTTCGTGGCCTTATGGTTTGCATCAAAACTTCATGCATCAGGGAAATGCCAGATTTCAGCCCAACAAACCTTTCTATACTCAAGGTACCATTGCTTACAAATTAGTTAAAAGGCTGGGTGGATTTTATTCTGGGTCATGGAGTGAAGGCCAAGATTTGGCAATGAAAATTCAGGCATTCAGTAAATATTTACTAGGAGAACATGTAGTGTCAGACTGGGCTAGGTGCTTATTGCTCAAGGAGGAATAAAATAAAATCCCCTTTCTTAATGCATATTTTATTAGAGTCAAACATGTAAAATAGACAAAAATAGGAGTTTAGAGGTATGAGTTAATGTTGCCCTAGCATAGAGAGCAGCATTTGCATACTGAAGCTGACATCACAGATTTTCAGACTTGAACAAGATCTTTATAGAGGATATTTTTGTTCTTTATAGATCTTCTGGATATTAGGGGGTGGGTATGTTATTAGCTTAGAGAATAATATATTGGAGGCACTGGAGTTTTGCCTGGCATAATGATGGAGATGAGAAAATAGGACTGGAGGATAGAGGTATATGGGAAAGATGTGTAGGTGATAAGGCTAAAGAGGACAGACCAAGAGCATACAATGAGAGAGTTTGGATTTGGTTTATAAAGCAGTAAAGTTCCAATCGTTTTTGAGTTTTGGTCAGATTTGTTTAGTAAAAGTAGCTCTTAAATAACAGTAGAATTTATATATTCTGTTTGTGCTATAATAGTACCAATAATCACTTTGACCTGGGTAATAAATATTACAAACTAAGGCAAAGACCATGGAGCATTTTATCTAAACTACTTGCCTCAAAGGTATTCATTTTAAGAGGCAATTCCTAGTCTGGTCCTCTAGCAATTAGTTAACCTAGGAATTTAGGATACTGGAGTCAGAATCATTATAGTTAAACTATAAACTAAAGTAGACACTCAGGAAATGCTGACCAAAATGAAATAATAGCTTTAAGATGAGGCTCCATATATGAGTCTCAGGCTTGATATAGTTTAACCATCCCAAATTATCCATGTATTGCTGGGGCATCTCTGTTGGATTCTTCTCCTGAGCAAAGAACTAGGGCTGAGAGAAGTACTTGGTAATACAAGCCCTTTTATAAGGGGAGAGCCTGAAATACTTTTTTTTTTTATTTTATTTTAGAGCCTGAAATTCTTTCCTTACCAGTTTGTTCCCCTTGATTCCTCCCTTCCATCTCTGTTCTGTCTCTTTTCTTTCACGTATCCCTTTCCTTTACCACTTCTCTCCCCCAAATATTTAAACATATTTTATCTCCTCCTTTATATAAATTAGAACAAAGATAATTAGCTGCAAGTTAATTTTAAGGGGTTGTCAGATAAATCGGCACACATCTTTCAGTTTCCTGTCTGTGTTGTATCCAACAGACAGATGTGCCACCCGTCGGTGTAGAGAGCGTTGTCCCCACCCACCAAGAGGAAACGTGTCGGAGTAATGCGAGTCCATTTTCTTTCAGCTGGTCTACCGATGCACAGCAACCAGCCAATCCTGCTGTCTCAAGGGTATCCGTACCTCAATGTCAGTTACATTCAGCAGAAAAAGTGACATTTAATGGAAAGCAAAACAAATCAGGTCCTGATTTAAAATTTTAACACATTTAGATAGCTTATTTAAATCCTCAGACTGTTTTTAAAGACTGTATTATTTGTATATAAATATGAACTATAGTTTTTACTAGTATCACCAAATTGAGTGATACAAATTTCATCTATTTTATTACCCTATTTTTAAGGGAATTTTATGTTTTGTTTAACCTTGATGAATTGTATAAAGAGAGAATTTAAAAATTACATTCTTTATTTTCTATTAGCTGTATTCATACTTTGGTTGCTTCAAACTTTATATATATTGTTCTTAAGAACTAGGGAAGAAATTCATGTGTTTTAAATTTGTCACTTTTATTCTTTACAGAACCTTGTAGTGCCAAAAACTTTTTAAAAGGTAAAAAAAAAAAATAAAATAAAACTACAACATGAAGTTCAGAATTTTTTCTTTTACATACTTGTATATTGATCATTCAAACTTGAGTGCAAAGTTGCTTTTGTCTGTGTATTTGAAGTAGGCCCATTTTAAGTTAATAAATCTATTTGACAAGAGTCAAATTTGGTGGATTCATCTAGTTGTTTCAATGATAGAAATATACTGTAACAATTCAGATATTATTCTCAGTGAATAGAATATTCTAAATCAAACTTGGTTTTAGAGATTTAAAGATTTTTTTCATGTCCTTTATTTTATTGGATCTTCACAAAACCCATATGAAGGTGGATAGAAGCAGATGCCATCTGTTTTATCATTGAAAGTGAAAACTGACGCTTAGAGCAGTAAAGTGAATTCTAGAGAGCATGCTTACATCTTAGAATTTGAACTGAAATAGCTTTTTTTTGGCAGAGGGCACATGCACTTGCTGGAGAGAGTTGGGGGCGGGGGTTGAGAATGCATCCTCTATAGGGAAGTCATGTCACAATCCCTTCTCCATTTCCCTTTCCTTTTTGGATTTTGGGCATGCATACCATACATGCCTGGCATGTTTCTCAAATTGCAGGGTCTAAGACTAGAGCTGTGTAGTCAGCCATGAGGGATCCAGCCACCTTAATCACCACACTGGGTTGGCCTGAAACAGGTCTTTTCAAAGAGAATTGTGTGTGTTTGTTTTGTTTGATTTTGTTTTTGGCCACAGGGTGTGTGTGCTCACTGAAGATGGAAAGGGGTTGGGGGTGAGAAATCACTCTGAGGGGATGGCCCATGCCACATTCCCGTCTCCATTTTTCTCTTGGGATATTGTGTACACATGTGACCGACCAGTGTTTTTCAAGCCACAAGGTCTGATACCTGAACCACACAGTCTGCCCAGCCACTTCAATCACTCCACTGGCTAGCCCCTGAAAGAGTTTATTTTATATATATATATATATATAAAATGAGATTTTATTACAGAAATTCTCAGCACATACTAAAGTAAATAGTGAAAGAGATGAAAGAGAATTTTCTTTAAAGATCTAGACTAATACTAGCAATTAGAATGGAGGAAGATGATTCTTACTTAGGAACTTAAGTAAGTATGCTAAACTCTATCCCTTCTGAGTCCTTTATCATCACATGGGAAAGCATGCTTGCCAGGATGGCAATTGTTTTCTAATTATGCTTCTGATTAAGTATTAGAATTCAGACTCAAGTTGATGGTGGCATATTTTTAGTTGTTTTTGTATTATACAGTAAGGTAGGGTAATTTTTCTTTAACTTTTTAATTAGGTTTGCCAGGCATTTTAGGATAAACAATTCTACAGATCTATTTTGAAATTTGGACAATAAGTAGTTAATATAGTTTCCTAAAATATATTTTTATCTTTTTTGTTGTAATTTTTGCTATAGGGTGTGTATGTTTACCAGAGACAGAAAAAGTGAGAAAGCACTCCCTAGTCCGTTCGCCATTCTTTTGGGATTTGGGGCATGCAGGCACACACTCAGTGTTTTTCAAACCACTGGGTCCAGGACTCAAACCGTGCAGTTGCTTTAACCATCATTCCACTGGCTGGCCCAGGACAATAAATTATCTTTGTTCTGTTACCTAAGAAATGCATTACTTAAATAAGAGCCTACTTGGGTTGTTACCATGTTTCCTAACGTGGAAGAACCTGAAATCTAGTACAGGAGATTGAGGATATTTCTGCCATTTTTATAGCCTTGATTGAGATCATCAGGTATGTTTACCGTTAGTTTTGCATATTAAATCTTCAGCATACTTTAGAATCCTAGTAAGTGGTACTGTTAGCTCATTTGTTTTATTAAGGTGATACTTAACCTACCTTTGGCCACTTTTGTATGCTTTGTACAATTCAAGATTTTCTTTGACATTAACATTTAAGTATTTGATTTCTTTTCAGGTCTTGGAGAGCAGGTGCTGAGGTATACAAGGGTGTTTATTTTATAGTCCTCTCTGCTGTATATATTTGACATTTTTGTTAAATGTCACCCAGAGACATTTTTCTTAAAATTCACCCAGAGAATAGCAACAGAGAATGTCCTAAGCTCCTTCCTTCAAGAAGCGTATACCACTTGGGTAACACAGTAACCAATATCCTATGTTTTATATGTATAGTAGTATATACAGTTGTACCTCAGTGTCTGTCGGGTATTGGTTTCAGTACCTCCTGTGGATACCAGATTCTGTACTTGCGTATTAAACGATGCATTTCTTTCCATATACTTTAAATCATCTCTTGATTATAATACCTAATAAAATGTAAATGGTATGTAAATCATAGTTATATATATATTTTTTATTTTTTTGGAGAGGTTTTTGCTATAGGGTGCATGCACTCGCCAGACAGACAGAGACAGACAGACAGAAAGCAAGAAATCACCCCCCCAGGGGGGATGGCCACACCACAATCCCTTCTCCTCCATTCTCCTCTTGGGATCTTGGGCACGCATGCACACGTGCCGGGCGTGAGTTTAAGCCACCAGGTCTGGGACTCAAACCGCGGTCGACTACGTGGGAGTCCAGCAACATAACCATTATGCTAACTGCTGGTCCCTCATACTTATATTTTTAGGGAATAATGAGAAGAAAAAAGTCTCTACCTGTTCATTACAGATGCAACTAAATTTCTTTTCAATATTTTTGAGCCATGGTTATTTCAGTCTTTGAGTGCAGAGCACCAGCTATATAATAATTTTCAGCATTTCATTTGCCCCACCTTCAGTATCAGTCAGTGTTCAGTAACTGGCAAAACTGTTCCAACTGAAAACCAGAATTACCTTGAGACCAGCAGTTAGCATAATGGCTATGTCGCTGGACTCCCACATAGTCGACTGTGGTTCTAGTCCCAGACCCGGTGGCTTAAACTCACGCCGGGTGCGTGTGCGTGCATGCCCAAGATCCCGAGAGGAGAATGGAGGAGAAGGGATTGCGGCATGGCCATCCCCCCTGGGGGGTGATTTCTTGCTTTCTCTCTGTCTGTCTGGCGAGCGCTCATGCCCTATAGCAAAAAAAAAAAAAAACCCCCCCCCCCCCAAAAAAAAAAAAACACCTCTCCCCCCCAAAAAAAGAAAACCAGAATTATCTTAATCTGTAATATATGTAGTACTACATGAATTGATTTGCAGTTATGATAATTTACATAGTAACTACATAAATTTACAGTTAAGAATTAAAATTTATGGAGCAATCAAAAAGTATAAACAAAATTAAAAAAAAAAAAAACAACAGAGGCTGTGTGCACTCACCAGAGATGGAGGGGGAGAAGATGTCCCTCAATGGAGTATGATCATGATACAGTGCCTTTTCCATCTCTCCGTCCTGTTGGTATTTGGGACACACACACACACGTGCCTGTCATGTTTTTTTCAAGCCACTGAGGCCAGGATTTGAATCATATGATCATTCGTGTGGGAACTGGTTCCCTTAACCACAAGCCCATGTCCAGCACGGTGGGGGGGCGGGGGGGGAGATAAAACAGTTGTAAACCAATTCCGTGGGGGTGGTTAAGGCAGCTGAGTCTCACACGAACCACATGTACGGTACGACTCCTGAACCCAGTGGCTTGAGAAACAAACTGCATGCATATGCATGTATGCCCAAAATCCTGAAAGGAGGGGGATGGAAATGGAGGGGATTGCTACACGACCATTCCCCATGTGGGGGTGCTGTCTCCTTTCCCCTCGTGTCTGGTGAGCCCATGTCCCCTCTAGAAAAAAAGGAAAAAACAACTTATGCAGAAAGAACACTCACTTTTAAGATCATAGTGCTTGAAATATTTTGTATAATGTTTAATTACATAGAGATTAATATTGTCCCTTACAATTAAGATGATTTAAAATATGAATACTAATATTATACTATATATTTGTTTAATACTCTATAGATAGACAATTTTGCTATTGCCAGTCTTTCTCATATACATAAAATATATAAAATGATGGGAGAAAGCTATTCTTGTGCATATTTAACTATGCTATTTGGGCAAATTCCCATAAATAGGATTATTAAATTCTAAGGTTCCCACTACATAATTCCAAACTGCCTTTCAGAAAGTTGCAGTTCCAACAGTATGAGTTCTTGAAAAAGTTCATGGAAAATGCATATTATGAAAAGCTGCATGGATTTAAAAAAAAAAATCTTTTGCACCAAAATAAACTCTCCTATGAACTCTTTGTTGTCCCATTGTATGTGTTTGTATGGTTTTAACAAAGTTTTAAACTCCAACACCTCATTTTTTTCCTTATGTTTATTAAAAATGAAAAATGTCATATAAAAATACAAAGAACAAAATTATAAAAATAAATGAAAATTCTATTAGCTAGTACTTAGTATTTTTAGTATCTGGTGAATCTCATTCTATCTTTCTTAAGTATATAGTCATAAATACAAGTAATTTTACAAAAGCGTGTTCATAGGCTATATTTAGTAAATATAACACATTAATTTTACTTGGAAGGAAAATAAATGTGGAACTGAAGAAGTGCTTACTTTTTGTTTTCTTTACAGGAGAATCTAGTTCCCTTTTTTTTTTTTTTGGAGAGGTTTTTGCTATAGGGCGTTTGTGCTGGCCAGAGAGACAGAGAGAAACACAGAAAGCGAGAAATCACCCCCCAGAGGGGATAGTCATGCTGCAATCCCTTCTCTTCCATTCTCCTCTCGGGATCTTGAACATGCACTCACACGCGCCTGGCATGAGTTTAAGCCACTGGGTTCAGGACTCGAACTGCAGTCAACTACATGGGAGTCCAGCGACATAGCCATTATGCCAACTGCTGGTCCCAAGAGAATCTAATTCTTAGGCATTGCTCCTAAAATTAAGGACAGTTATGGACAACACTAAATAGGCTGGACTTATTTTTTTGTTTCATGTATTTTTTTTTTAAAGAGAGATTTTTGCTATAGGGTGCATGTGCTTGCTATATAGAGAGAGATAGGAAACAAGTAATCACCCCCACCCCCCACCGCACCCCCCCAGGGAAGATGGCCACACTACAGTCTCTTCTCTTCCATTCTCCTCTCAGGATTTTGGGCACGTGCACACATACACACACACACACACACACAGCGTGAGTTTTAAGTCACTAGGTTCAGGACTCAAATTGCTGCGGACTA